TGTTCTCTTGTTAGTGATGCTATAAAGCTTTTCTCACTTTTTCGTTTCTTTTCAATAGCCCTATTTATATGGTGAATAGCTGGCGACGGAAGCCTGGGAACAAAATAATTCTGAAACTTTGGCTACTTAGTTAGTTGATCACTATTGAACGTTTCATCAATACTGTTTTGAGTACCCCTCAGAGATGATGTGGTTCGATGGATGAGGGTGAGAAGGCTGGATAACCTGATTTATAAGAATAAATCAAGTGAGACCCGGTTGGAATGAGTAAGAAAGAAGGAAAAGCTGATACGATACTACTGTCTACCAGCGCTAAAATTATTTTAAACAATAATCAACATTCATAGTAACGAAGATTGCGAAGCAACTCAAATAATTTTTTCAAAATTTATAAATAATCTAGTGACTGAGACCATATTAGAAGAATGAAATAAGATTAATACCCAAGGAATGTGTAAATGATGATAAGACTATCTACTAGTGCTGGAAATCGTATCCTCTATCCAAGTTAAGTAAGGCGCTACCATCGTGTAAATACCAGGCTGGTTCTTTTGAGCACAGCCGTCTCCCCAACTGATAACTCCAGATAGTACATATCGTCCTAAAGACAGATATCAAATTTTTCTGGCTTTCCACAGACCTTCTTTGTTCAGACATGCATATGGTCCCCCAGAATCTCCTTGGCAAGAGTCGATACCACCCTTAAACATACTTATAAAACAATTTTTGCTAGAACAAACTTCTAAATATCCGGCACAAAATGCTGATCGGCTCATTGAGTCGTAAATTTTTGAAGAATTTTTGCAGGAACTTCGATCTATGATAGGCAAAACTGCAGCCTGTAGGCGAGTTGGGTACTCTACAATTTCGAAACATTTCCATAACTTGAGTACGAAAAGTACCTAATCCCAAACTTCCCCATCCAGAAACTATACATTTTGTTCCTGTATCGTAACTGAAATCTCTGGGTGGTAAACATATTGGCTGAACGAAATCTGTCCACTCAAATCCAGGTGAAGGAATTTCCAAGATGGCGAGATCGTGTGCGAAAAGATCTGTTGTTCGAGCAAGATTTTTCCATTACAAAGTGTTTCTATACCTTCGTACAATGGGTAGAAGTGTATCCTAATGATATTGAACGATTGTTCAGTACCCTCAGTGTTATTATTGTCCCAGTCTCCAGCAACGACATAATAAGTTGATGGTCTTCTGTCATCTCTGAAAAAAGGACCTTATCACTCGAAAATTTATCGTGAGACTTACTCGAAGCAATGAGCCGCTGTAATCAAATGGGTGCGATCCAAAATGCTTGCACCACAGTGATGAGCAGCATTCTGAAAATTTGAACAGAATTAACGAAATAATTGAGAAATTTACCGAGCGAACTTTCACTGCAGCAGTCCAGGGAAAAGCACCAGCAGCGGTTTCAAACCCACCAACAACACGCGCTAGCCTTTCTCTCGCTGGATCTTTTGCGTTCACTTCCACTTTTCTTCGTCCACATATGGCAGTTGAATCTATAGTAATCGAAAATAGTATAAATTTGAAAGGAATATTATAGACCTGTTGCAATAGAAGGGCACCTTACACGCGCTTGTTGGGCACATTCGGTGGAAACGGAAATCGAACATGTTTCACCCTTACAGTCCAACTGGCGCCCTCTTCCTGATAGGGATGTAGGTACAAGCGAGGAAGCTTCTCCACTGGAGAAGAAACAGGATGATATGTTTCTAAACTGAAACTCACCTTAGTTGCATGACAGAACAAATTTTTGTGGCAGCATTATTGTCTACACCGGTAGCACAAACTGGCTCCCATTTACCGGATAAGTACACTTCTACTGACCCACTGTTTTCAGTTCCATTAGCAAACCGTAAGTTAACTTCTTAAATTGAGAAAATGGGGTATTATAAATAAGTAATCTGACCTCTGCAATACTTCTCGTCAAAACCATCAGGACAATCATTTTTACCGTTACAGAGTTTTTCGTTTGGAATACATGTGCCATCTCCACAAACGGCATCTTCGCAATCCGAGCACCTTTATAAGTGTTTCACAAAATGAAATTTAAAGCTCTCACCTTATCGGAAGACAAGATGAAGTGGAAACACAAGTATTCATGCGTAAACATTGTACACTCCACCCATTTTCAAGATAGTTAGGACTATCAATGAAACTAAGATCAATTGCTCTCCTGAAAGAAAAAGTTTCAAAGATTAAGTAGCTTATGAAAAACTTGAAGCCTGCTATAGAACATATTGATGTTTTGTAATCGTTCGAATAATTATCGTCACAAACAGCTTTCCAAGTACCGTTTCTCGAAGCCAGCAGTACGTGTGAAGTAGTATTTCTGGAGAACTCAACCTCTTCTAAATATTGGAATTTTTTAACTTTAATAACTACTACGACGTACTTTGCGGTATTCTTCTTCTGTAGTAGAGGGATGTTGGTTTGGTGATAAGATTAGTTGAAATCATAGTAGAATCGGTTAAGAGACAAGTCTGGATAGAGTTTTGCTTTCAAGCTATAGGTGGAAATTATTATTACTTGTAATCTAGGCTCATATGAGAAGGCCTCACATATCAAAGAACTGTCCAAACATCTCTTGGCACACTGAAATTTGAAAAGTGTTAATGTATTCGTTCGAATTACCAACTCCTTGAACATGAGGAATAAAGTTCCAAATTTCTGTTATTTTCTCTACAAGTCTCATAGCGCCAATAAGTTCGAAAGATTGCAGATAATCACCTGAAATTAATTCTTTTTGAACTTCATAGTGTAACTTACCACAATGTAGCTCGTCACTACCGTCTGAACAATCTTTTTCGTAATCACAGCGAAAATCTTGAGAGATACATCTGCTATCTCCACATTGGAACTCCGTATTAGAACATTGATATTTTGCTTGAAAAGCTGACTTATTCCTATTCTATAAAATCTGAAAAAACCTTTGTCTGTTTCATCGCGGAACTCTCCAAGTGTTGGACATGGTTCAATATCACAGATCTCTCTCTGATTCGGAGCGATATAACACTCAGCATTTCTAGAATGAAATGAAGAGGATCAACGAAAGCGTTAAACCAACCTTTTATCATCCGAGATTACACGGCAATAGTTATGATTCCAATCTTTTTGTTCTGGAAATTTGACGCCATAGAACACTATTGACGGATCGTTCCATCGCATACAAGGTGCTCCTAAGAACTCATCTAAAAACCAATAGAACTGTACCACTTACCTGTACGGGAAATATTGAAAAGGCCAAAGTATCCTTGACTGGATACGCATTCTAAACCACTCTCACAGATTACACTTCCCGGTTCTTCACAATCATAAGCCGAGTAATTTCCGTTCACTACAGCCATACACCTCCCACTGCCTGTTAACGGAAACTGAAAATCAAAAAAATAAGTTGTCAATATGAAAATATTATCATGAGAAGTGGTATAAACAAGTTACATTGATTGATGATCCATCCTCCCAAACCCACTCCGAACCACTTCGGAAGCCGGATGTGAAATACGCAATAGTAGAATCTAAAAATTTGAGAAAAATAAGAAGAACTTCTGAAAAACCATAGTGAACGGAGAGATGATGGAGAAGAACGAGACGATCGTTCTCTCTGGTGAGTGATGAAAGCGCAGATACAGGGCAAGTATTCTAGGAACGACTACATTTAAAGATGTTGAAGTTATCGTACTACCTTCGCTTCAGCATAGTTGTCGTACAATACCTTTCCAATTGACACACATTTATTAGAGAGCTGATAATGGCTAGGATTACATAAAGGTTTGTTCTCTGAAATCGAGTTCAGATTCCTAGATCAGTTTGGCATTAAACATTTCGTTATAGCGGCAAAAAGGCAAATAAGAAAATGTTTGAACAAGAAATTGAAGAAAAATCGAATTACGTATTCTGTTATAATGAAATATTTCAAACAACTCACCTCTAGCATCTTGTATGGGACAAGTAACTTTCACAATTTGACTACAAAAAGGTGATTGGAATGTGAAACATGTAATATTGGAGACACATGCAATGGAATACACATCTTTGCTTCTCACAATCTGCTGGGGAGAAGCAAGTGGGGCAGCGGAAGTCCTTGATGAATAAGAAATTAGTTTTTATTTCTTAACGATGCTCACCTATCTATTGAACAAGCTATTCTCAAGTATTCATCATTAATAGAAGACGCACATAAAGGATAGAAAACCCCACTAGGTGCTGTAACTTCTAGAACTGAATCTGTTCTAATTCTAAAGTTCCTTCATATTGTATAATTTTTTTAAATTTCAAATTACCTGAACTGTATCGTAACTACAAAAAAAGGAGAGTGAATAAGAAAGAAGAGGCCGACAAGTAGCAGAGGAGACATTGATGAAGTCAAGGCGGACCGGTCGCGGACTCGACTGACTAGTAGCTGTGGTAGAACTCACCAATCATACCGTCACTCTTTGAGGATTTGGCCAGCTTCCGTCGCCAGCTATTCACCATATAAATAGGGCTATTGAAAAGAAACGAAAAAGT